AGAATCCCGAAGCACTGCACCAAGGACCAAAGGCTTCACTGCACCGCCTTCCACTGGGCACGCTTTGGGGTTGTTTTGGGTCTGTCTGAAATGAAGGATTTCATCCGCTTTTCTGGGCATGAGTCAAAATTTATGGTTGGTGGTGACTGGAACATTGGTTTAATATGGGATAATGATGGTTAATGATGGTTAATAATGGTTAGTAATCACTGGTTGGTGGTTTGGAACCATGGAATTTTATGACTTTCCATAGATTGGGCATGTCATCATGCCAACTGTTACTCACTCCATGATTTTTCAGAGGGGTAGGTCAACCACCAGCCAGATATGTTAACCCATATTATTTACCATCCACTAGGGAATTTATATTCATATTATTGTTATGATCATGATTAATCCAAATGGGTATGAACCATCCAATTTAGCTATTTCAATGACTCTCCAGTGGTTAGGAGGGAGCGATTCGGAGCGGTTGGGGTAACCATATTCCCTATTAAATGAGGAGCCAAGGAGCTATCAAGAGTTTCTCAACCACAGTAAAGATGATTAGCTTGTCAAGAAATATAGGATAGCGGATTTATTGCATTTTTGATAGGGATATTGATGACTAGCCAGTGGGTTTTAGTGAACCCTATTTCCAGAAACCGATTTAAGCCAAGTTGATTTTGGGGAGTTCTATGTGAGCTGTTAAGTTCCATGAGCAGTCTTACTGCGGGTGGAGTTAGGTAGAAACAAATTCGGTGACTAGCTCTGCAGGGGAAGATTCACTGACTGCTATCTTAGGAATGCTTAGACTATTCACCTTACCAACATTCAGCGGTTTCGCCTTCTATTCTCCATTAAGATGGTTTAATACACCATTTACACCATTTTAAATATAACTGGAAACAATTAACATCCCTTCGCCCAAAATATTGAATACCTCCCTTAGAACCGCTGGCCTTAGCACATCGAATTCAACCAATCCCCCTGAGTTGATCGGGGTCACCGCACGGCGTGGCTTGATCGGGGGTATTGGTCACGGTCGATTCCCCTATGATTACTACTATGAGTATCATTAGCAGTACGTATTGTTAGTGTTGTTTCGTGTTTATTACTAATCATTACTAATTATTATTAATTATTGTTAATTATTACTAATTATTACAAATTATTACTAATTATTACAAATTATTACTAATTATTACAAATTATTACTAATTATTACAAAATATTACTAATTATTACAAATTATTACTAATTATTGCTAATTATTACTAATTATTACTAGTTATTACTAATTACTACTACTTATAATGATCAATAGTAACAATCACTATAATATGTATATATATATATATATCATTGTCATTATATATCATTCTATATTATCATTGATTATTATCTCATCATCATTTTCAGCATTGTTTCAATATACATATACACACATATATATATATAAGTTATAAGCATTGTTCTGACTACGTACTACTTCCCTTGCACCATTCTAAGTGTGTGTGCGTGTGTGTTGTTTGTACCAAGTCTCGATCAACCTCTAAAAAGGCTGGCATATACAAAAGTGATGCACAAGGAAATTTTGTTGGTGATTTCAACATTTTTTCATTATCATAGGTGACATGTTGGTATATTTATCTATATACCTGTTGGTATATTTATTGATGACATTGCGTAACCTTGTTAAATATCATGAAGAATCACAACGGGTTTTATACCTATGGCAGCTGCTTGATATACCAAAGTGTCAGCTCTGACCTTCTGCAAAAAAAACAATGCTGTATTATCTAACCTTGGTTACATATTATCTCCAATAATACACCATTAGGATATAGTTACATAGCTTACATTATCCAGGTATTGTCTCCAATAATACACCATTAGGTAATACCACAAGCCAATCAAACAAATCCTACCAGGATCTCGAGTAATACACCATTGTCACATTGTATTATGATCGAATTGGCTTAATTGGCTTATGATATTTACCGAACGTGACCTATATCTAACCACGGCGTCCAGGGCCTCACGTGAACTCTCTCCCACCAGAGGGCCAGGCACGCTTCGGGAAAGCCATGGGGGTAGCATAGCTGGAGAGTTTTGGAACGGAACATACCCCCAAAAAAGTGGATGGGATGGGGGTACCACCATGACCGTTCGGAAAACCTAGGAAAACCACCATGACTTTGATGTGTAGCTCTGCGTTTAATTAAGGCCCAATGTGTTGAAACTGTGTCTTTTGAAGAAATCACACCCTAGATGCATGACTCCTGAAGGTGCTCTAAAGACAGCACATGTCTGATGTGGGCACGATTCACGATAGCCACAGAAATTGCACACATCATGTATGCAAGAATGTGGCGAGTGAGTGAACGCTCCTTTCAGTCTCAATCACTTGTTTGTGCTGGGTTCAGTTGGCAAGACAGCGACCCACTCGGTCACTTACATTCTGATGCATGATTGTTCGATCCCCTCTTGCATGGAATTGCTTCGTGCGAAGGGGGCCCTCTTGAGCTCAAGAACCTACGTGTAGAAAATGTGCGGCAATGGCGTCGCTTGTGCTTTAGCGTGATTCATTCTCTTCAGATCCACTTGGCACAACAGATTGGTGCCGCGGAGCCTTCAAGATGAGTGGACCTAAGGGTATGGCATCTACTAGTGACTCCGGCCAACCTGGAGGACGTATCCCATTTTGGGATGGCCAACCACAAACTTTCCACCACTACATTGTCGAGGTGAAATGGTTGCTGGCTGGCACAAAGACTTCAGAACGTCCATATGCAGCTGCCCGCCTTGTCAGGCGACTGCTGGAATCCGATTATCCTGCTCTCAAGACTCTTATGTACAAGCTGGACCCTGATGAATTCCGTGATGAAAATTCTGTGCAGCAGTTTTTGCGATTCCTGGAAAGTAGTCCCATGAACCGGCAGCCCATTCCAGACGCAGGGGCGAAACTGGCTGCATACTATAGAAAGTTGTCACGGAAAGGTGGTGAAAGCATTCCCCAGTTCTTGATTCGTGAAGACACGGTGTATGATGAGATGTGGAGATCATTGCAGCGTCTTCTTAGAGAAAAGGAGTTGGATTTCAGCAAGTTTGACACTACTCTGGAAGATCTTCGTGTGTTTTGTGGCATGGATCCCAATAGGTCTGTGTTCCATCCTGATGATTTGGAAGAGGAAGACGCAGCTTCAGTTCGTCGACCGACTCCTCCGACTTCAGCGGCTGCTGAGGCTGATGATGATGAGGAGGTGGGGTCATCGAGAACGGCAACTCCTGTTGGTGCTGCGCCTGCTCCTTCGAGGATCCGGAAGAAACCCAAGGATTTGATTGAGAGATTAATGGAAAAGGGTCTTATCCCCCTAGCCGCTTTAGATATAATCCGAGGCTGGTTGGTCCTTGAAATGTCTAGTTCATCAGATATGGATAGAGCATTGGTCAAAGCATCAGCACAAAATGAGCTTGGCTATGATAGAATCAAAGCGTCTTTGTTAGCTCTTCACGAAGATCGAGGAAGGCTTCAGCAGCCCCAGAAAGGATCCTGGAAGGGTGGTCGGGTGTTTTTGTCAGAAGAACACTCTGAAGATCAGTCCTGGTTTGGAGAAACCGCTGATGGTGGCGAAGAAACCTGGTCGGGTGAATATCCCGAAGACTATGGCGCATGGTTTCAAGATCCATACCATGATGATGACTGGTCCTGGCAAGAGTGGCATGAAGATTCATATTGGCAAGAACAACCTCCTCCCTATGGACATGAAGTCAACGCGGTTGCAGCAGATGAGTCTCCTGAAGCAGACCCAGAATCTCAGAAATTGTTCCTCCAGCTGCAGGAAGAGGAGCGCGAACTTCAGGCCATGATGGCCGAGACTCAACGGAACCTTGAGCAAGCTCGACAGGCTGTGGCGGCCTCTCGGAAAGATCGTGGCTGGAATCACGCATCAAAAGGTGCACGAGACACCAGTACAGTGATGCGTTCCAAGGGCTTCCCAAAAGGGAAACGCGAGATGCAGTTTGCCCAATACGCTCCCCGAGCTCTATGGCCACAGAAAGGATTCAAGGGCAAAGGGTTTGGAAAGATTACTGGCAAGACTGGCAAGGGCTTCCCATCTTCGTCAAGCAACTTCTCACGGAAGGGATCAGCCTACTACATGCCATCTGTCCCTGAGAAGATGTATACTCTCTGCCCCTTGGATGTGCATGCTTTTGATGAGACCCCGTCTTCAACTTTGGAGATGGCCATGAACATGAATTCGTCACCAAGTCACTTGATGCAAGCTGAGACCATGCCTGAAGAGTCAGTAATTGACACAGGAGCTACCGTTTCAGCTGGTGGCCGCAAGGCGGTCAATGACTTAGTTTCAAGTCTTGCAAAAGCAAGATCAGACTTGAACGTGCAGATCTTCAGTGGTGATCGCCCGTATTTTAGGTACGGTTCCGGGGATTGGGGCCGAGCACTTTTTCGAGTTCGCCTGATGTTTTCGTCCTTCTCTCTGGATATATATATGCTTTACCATCTCCAGGAGTTCCAGTGTTGCTAGGTATGCGTGAGCTATCAGCATTACAGTGTGTCTTGAACTTGTCGAATGGTCGTGCAATCATTGCAGGTTCACAGGTGAAGCTTCGCACCACACATAAACGTCACCTTGTGTTGAATATGATTAGAGATCTCCCTGGAGGAAGCCAAAGCAAACTTCCCACTGAAGATAAAGTGAATTTTTCAGATCGCCAGTCCACAACCTATCCTCAAGGGAAAGGTACTGGCGAGCAGTTTTCGGGAATGTTGGAGCTTTTGACCATGCGCGATGATTTTCCTTCCTTTTCCAATCAGCATGATTCTCTGTACTTGGATGCAAGGGCTCATGAGCATATAAATCTTTCTCCTTGTGATTTTTCATTTCTGCTCGGTCACCGTAGCAGTGATCCAAGCACTTCCGCGTTTCCGGAGACTTCTCAGTCACCTACTCCAGTGCCACGACATGTCGACCGAGCCAAAGGATGTCAAGGCCATGATCAAGGAAGCGGTGCAACAAGCCCTGGCAGAAGAAAAGCAGAAGACCAAGGGCACGTCATCCACTTCGGAGAAGACGTCAAGCAAGAAGGAGAAGACGACAACCTTCGACGAGTCTCGTCGATCAGGGATGCATCTGCAGGACCCCCGGGCCGAGAAGACTCAATGGCCATGTTTCGGAGAACATCACGAGACTCGGGGGAGCAACCGCTTCGGAATGTGGAGCGATTGCCGGAAGTGTGGAATTCGAATGATGTATACTCCAGCTGTGGGCAGTCCGGCCACCTCAGTGCATCAAGATCTTCCTGCAACGGTCACCGAGGCATTGGCCAATCTTCGCAGCGACGGTTACCAACCTCAAGAGGTGGATCACAAGCTGGTGAAATATGCGATCAAGTTGGTGACGGCCGAGAAGGTGATGAAAGGCCGACCTCCAAAGAACCAGACAAAAGCCAAAGCAAAGGGCTATCCCTCGCCGCCGGAGACACCACAGCCAACAGCGGCAGAGGTCCATGTGATGACCGACTCCGACACAGAGGGTTTCCAATCTGTGCAGCCCAAGAGCAAGAAGTGATCGAGTTTGCCGAGGAAGAGTCCGACCTCCAGTCAGAGACTCGCAAGATGGTCCAAGAAGTGATTCAATCACACAACCAGTTTGGTGTTGCTGCGGAACTTCGGCAGCTGAGAGCTACAGCTGTGAAGGATGTAGTGTGGGAGTTATGTTGTGGTCCCAAGTCGACACTGACCTCAGAAGCCGAGCGGCAAGGTATGCAGGCTCACAGGTTAACTTTAGAAAATGGGTTTGATTTTGATGATCCCAATAGTGTTGCTCAAGCAAAGCTGAAGATAAAAACTGAAAGGCCCACCAAACTTTGGGCTTCACCAAAATGCAATCCCTGGACAAACACACAAAATCTCGACCAGAGAACTTTTGAGCAGTGTCGAAATTTGAGACGTATGAGACTGCGAAGTCGCCGTCAGGTGCGACACATTCTCGACATTTTCAGGGCAGCGATTTCACGTGATCCAAAAAATGTGCATGTCTACTTTGAGTGGCCACGGGATGCAGTGGACGGCTGGCGCATTCAAGAGTTTCAGCGTTTTGAGCGATGGCTTCACTCAACCTTTGGCATCCAACTTTTCCGCACGCACATTCATGGTTGCATGTTTGGGGTGCGTGCTCCATCGGGAGAACTCTTGAACAAGCCCTGGGTGATTTTGACCACTGATGAGTTCTTTTTCAAGCATGCCACCACCAAGTGTGACGGATCACATGAGCACCGTCCTGGCGGAATGTTGGGAATGGGATCAAAACATGTCAATGCTACCGCATTTTACCCCACATCAATGGCACGTCGAATAGTACAAGTTTGGAAGAAAGGAAAGTTCCAGGACAATGACATGTTTGTCCTCAATCAACTCCACACAGCAGCGCATTCATATGAAGATCCAGTAGCATCAAATCCATTCACACTGCAAGAGCTTCAAGAAGATTTACCAGAACTAGATGAGACCGCATATGCAGCATCAAAACGCAAACCACGAACACAAGATCCAGATGATGCAGACCCAGACCAAGATCAGCATGAATTTGTTGATGACACCCAACGAGAGCGGTGCCGTGCCATGCTTCACCGACTGCATCGATCGGCTGGTCATCCCAGCAATCGAAATTTGGCGAGGCTGATTCGGGACAGAGGCTTACCAAGGTGGATGGTAGAAGAAGCAGCAAATCTCAAGTGCCAAGCATGTGTTGAGAACCAGAGGGGAAATCAGTTGATCCCCCACAAGAGCATTGGAGTGCAACCTCAACCTTGGCAATTTGTAGGTATGGATGTGTTTGAAGTGCCCTTCCCGAAGCAGCAGTGCAAAGTTCGTTATTTGGTGATGGCAGATCTGTGTATGCAGTTTGTATCACTTCAAGTTCTCCATGTTGGTTCACTCTCTGATTCTGGCACTGATGGAGGTGACAAATTGGTGGCAGCCTTCTGCAATGGATGGCTCATCCACCGACCGAGGCCGGAATGGGTGCTTGTAGATTCCCAAACAAGTTTGTGCTATGGGGCTATGTCAGATTTTCTTTCCATGGCTGGTATTGGACTTTCAGTAATTGCGGGAGAAGCTCACTGGCAACATGGAAAAACAGAAAGCATGGTCCGGATCACCAAGGGGATCATCAGAAGACTTCGCAATGAGAATCCAGAGATTGATCCAGCAGCAGCAGCATATTTAGCGTGTATTGCCTCAAACAACACTTGGAAGTCTAATGGTTTTAGTCCAGTTCAATGGGCCTATGGGTGCGATCCAGATTTCAAACGAGATGTTGAGCCAGACCCACTGGAGGCAAATAAACGTTTTGGTATAGGTCCTAAAATTTTTGCAGAACTTCAGCAACATCGTGATCGGGCAAGAGCTATTTGTGCAGAAGAGATTGCAAAAGAGACTATGACCCGGTTGTGGAATTCCTCTTCTCGTCCAGTTTCTTCCTTTCAGGTTGGCGATTTTGTTTTCGTGTGGCGATCAGCTACACTAAAGGCAAGGAAGAGAGATGCTACATATAACCCAGAACCAAGATTCATTGGGCCAGGCCGCGTAGTGTTGATTGAACCAAGTCTATTGGAAGATCGGAGACAAGGGGTCATCTGGGTATTGCTAGGAGCAACTATGTATAGATGTGCGCCAGAACAGCTTCGCCATGCTACACCACAAGAAATTCAATTAGAACTGTTGGCATCCGGCGAATCTCTTGTCATACCCAAGGAGGAGATGATTCGAAAGCTTCGATCCTATGTAGATGTTTCTCAGGAATTACCTCTTATTCCCCCAGATCATCCACAATTTGTTCCACGAGGTAACCAAGCGGCTTCAGCTTCAACCGCCGAACCTTCAAGCCCACAGCAGTGGACAGAAGAGGTGCGTAGTGGAAGACCAACCCGATCACGGAGTAGAGAGCCAAAACTTTCTGTGGATGAATTGCAGCGGCGATGGAACCAACTGATTTCTGTAAATGACAATCGCCGACGTGAGGGACTTCCGCCATTAATGCAGTTGCCTAGTTATGATGTACCTATGTATTCTTTGAATGATGATGATGTTCCAGAAGAGAAATCCATGGGAGTAAAGAATATTGAACAAGTTTTGCAAGCTTATCAAATTTCAGATCCGGAGGTTCAACAGCTTGTCCGGGACAAGATTTTTCAGTTGGAAATTCAGCAGAAACAAGAAGAATCACTTCAACTTTTGCGTGATCAGATTGAGAAAGAGAAGGAAGATGAGTCATTTTTGCTGTCGTACATTTCCTCTTCATGTACATCCTCTCAGCCTTTGGATTGCTATCGCGTAGAGTTTGATATCCTGGATGCAGATGCATTCACTTCCAACCCTATTTTGTATGTGAAGCGAGTTTTGGAGTCAAAGGGAACAGAAGTAACGTATTCTAAACTTCTCCCTGAAGAGCAGCCATTATTTGATGAGGCGAAAGCTCGAGAAGTAGCAGAAGTGGTTTCATCAATGGCTTTACGCAAGATTTTGGAAGCCACTGAGCAGAAGGAAGCAGAGGAGAATCCAGGTCGCCATCTTCCCATGCGATGGGTTTTAACTTGGAAACCAATCATTCCACCAAATCCTCCTAAACCTGGGGAACCTACTCCCGTACACAAATCTGGTACAAAGAAAGCAAAAGCGAGAGTAGTTCTGCTGGGGTTTAAACATCCTGATCTTATCAAGCGGGACCCTATCACTGGTAGACCTGAACTTTTGACTTCATCCCCGACTATATCAAGAACTGGTCGTAATCTATTGTTACAATCTATGGCTTTGGATGGGCATGTCATGGAATCATCAGACGCGAAAAGTGCCTTTTTACAGGCAGACAACTCAGAGGAAAAACGGCGACTGTGGACACGTGCGGTGCCAGAGTTGGCTCATGCGTTGGGAGTAGTGCCTGGGGAACTCTTACGTATAGTGGGTGCTATTTATGGTCTCACTAATGCCCCGCGTATCTTTTGGAAAGATGCAGATCAGAAATTGCGACAGCTCGGTGCACGTTCACATCCCATAGATCGATGTATTTGGATAGTTGTCAACCCCTCAACTGGTAAAGTCTGCGGTCGTATTGGTTCACAGGTTGATGATTTCCTTTTTGGCGGTGATCCTCATGATTCTTATTGGCAGCAATTTCGCAAGAATATGAAGGAGATGTATGTCTGGTCGCCATGGGAACAGGGGGATTTTATCTATGCTGGGTGTAGACTTCGTCAACTATCCACAGGTACAATTCATGTTTCTCAAGAAGATTTTTGTAATTCTTTGCAACCCGTGGAAATTTTTGGAGACAAATCTAGGTCAGATTCAGATTTGATGACTGACAGCGAAGTATCACAGTGCAGAGCATTGCTGATGAAGGCACAGTGGCGCGCACTCCAAACAGCACCACAATACGCAGCGCGTATTGGTTTAGCGTCATCTGCTATGAGTGACAAGCGCTTGGCAAATTTGAGAGAAGCCAATAGCATTTTGAAAGAATTGAAAAAGACTGCAAAAGAAGATATCGTTTTTCACAATTTCAATTTGGGGAGACAGGAGAAACTTTCGTATTCAGATCTTGTTTTCTGTCACTGGGGCGATGCGGCCCAAAAGAATCGCCCAGGGAAAGGAAGTACTGGTGGGTACATCACAGGACTCACCACCACAGAAGTGTTGCGGGGGAAAGAATGTTTGATTTCTCTCATTGATTGGCGTAGCTGGAGATTGCGAAGAGTAATAGCTGGATCTAACAGTGCAGAAGGCCAAGCAATTGCAGAATGTGAGAATAAAGGTTGGAGAACTCGAGTTTTTTGGTTTTTGGTCGTTGATGTACAACAATAAACTGACCAGAACCAATGCAGAGAGTCTGGCGGCTTCATGTTTGAGTCTGCTGATCATGGATTCCCGAGGATGCTATGACGCATTGGTCACCAACGAGTCTCTGGGCACCTCCATTGATGATGCGAGGGCATCCATCGACATGATTGGGGTGCAGCAAGGGACAGCTCCTGAAACTATGTGTCATCCGACCTGGGTGCCTTCTGATCTTAACTTAGCGAACTCATTGACCAAGTGTAGTGTTGAGGCATACCGTGAAATGGCACTGTTTCATTCCCGTAAAGCTTGAATCGTAAGATTCAATACTGAATTCGTTTCAGCACGGAAAGCTCAGCGTCTTAGACGCGCTAAGCAGCAAGAAGAAGAGAAAAATAATCTTCATTTTTGTCATATCCCAGAAAACTGGGACGAAGACAGTTGGGCGTCACTCTTTGGAATTTTACCAGAGCGTAAAGATCTTGAGTGATTTTTCCCATACCTTCCAGAATGCATCTAGGGTTGAGAATGTTGTCTCTTTGGTGTGTCTTTTGAAGAAATCACACCCTAGATGCATGACTCCTGAAGGTGCTCTAAAGACAGCACATGTCTGATGTGGGCACGATTCACGATAGCCACAGAAATTGCACACATCATGTATGCAAGAATGTGGCGAGTGAGTGAACGCTCCTTTCAGTCTCAATCACTTGTTTGTGCTGGGTTCAGTTGGCAAGACAGCGACCCACTCGGTCACTTACATTCTGATGCATGATTGTTCGATCCCCTCTTGCATGGAATTGCTTCGTGCGAAGGGGGCCCTCTTGAGCTCAAGAACCTACGTGTAGAAAATGTGCGGCAATGGCGTCGCTTGTGCTTTAGCGTGATTCATTCTCTTCAGATCCACTTGGCACAACAGAGAAACCATCTTGTTTTGTCCAGTAGACACAATGAACATGATGCAAAACAGGTGAAATCTGCTGAAATCACCCTTGTCGGTTTCATACAATGGGACATTCCCAAAGTGAAACCCAGCTCACATCGAATCTAAACCACTCAGGAGCAAAAACTCTCTGAGCTACTCACTGCTTACTGGTTTACTGGTCATTTAACTCTAGCTATGGAAACAATGACCATGTTTCATGTGAATCACTTTAGCTATGGCAAATCACCCATTTTTTATAGGTGAATCAAGTGCTCCAGGCTCTGCACGGCCCGGCTCCAGTATGTGCGGAGCCTCAAACCAAGGGGGACCCAATGGGTTTGGGGAGGACTTGGATGATAGAATGGTGCATAATGCTAGCAGAATGCTAGTTTTATTTCATGGTATACTTTTTTAATCTTTTTCAATAATTCATGCTATATACATTATATATATAATATGATATTTGCATTTTTTTGATGAATTTTGATGGGTATTTGTTTGGTGTAGAATCGATATAATCCGTGGGGTATAGTCGATGACCACCAGACAATGGGGATTCTTGGTCCAATGAATCTCACATGTGGTTTCACACATTTTCCATATTCGATGATCGCCCCAATGACTCAAGCTATTTTTTAATGGGTTTACACCACCGGACAATTTTTTGGCAACATTTTGATGGGGATACACCAGCTTGTTCTTCAAGGGTTGCCCCAGATGGGGCATGGATGAACATCCAGAACCAGTTGGTGGTTTAAAGTTACCCTCTGGTAAACTAACATAGCTATTGAAAATTGCCATTTATAGTGGATTTACCCATTAAAAATGGTGATTGTCCATAGTTAGGTTGGTTTACCAGAGGGTAAGGCTGCAAGGGTGAACTGGCCCAGTTCGCCATCTGTGATTATTTCACCAGCAAGGAATTGGGGGATAAATGGGATCAAAAATGCCCAAAGATGTTGATTCTAGATGGTGTAAAATGAGGATAGAACTACGAAATGCTGGAATACACCCAGTGGTGAAGGGTAGTTTAAAGAGTTCTGTTCTTGACGTTTTGATGGGGATATATAAATATTTATATCGTGCCTACACACACATATATATAATTATATAAAATGTATAGCAATAATAATAATGTATGTAATATATATATAAACATATATATATATATAAACATTATAATTATATGGTATATTATATATACTACCCAGACAGAACTGTTCAGTTTTTGCAGAGTCACATTATCCATAAACATCTCCCCAGGCATGAGTGTTTACATGTATCATTGGAATAAAACTAACGGCAAACATCGCAGATATATCGAAGTTGGACGTCATGTCATGGGGATTTAAGCCAAATTACCCCCCAAAGGTGAACCCCGGGCTCATGGGACAGGGCTCATCTTTTGGGCTTTTAATCACCAAGAACCACGTTCACCTTGGGCTTGGCTTCCCCATGATGGTTGCTGTTACCCGGACCCCTGGTTCTATGCATCGATGATGTGAATCCCGTTACCCGGAAGTGGTTCAAAAGAATTGTTGCAAGCCAGATGTGCAACTATGGATATCCCCATTGTATATACCCTCTGGTTATGACTAACATTGCCATGGAAAATCACCATGCTATTAATAGGTAAACCATCTATAAATGATGTTAAATAACCAGAGGGTATATATATAATGTTTCATTTTATATCCCATGCAGTTAAACTATCGATTATACCATAGTTTCTGGATATAAACTTGTAAGTGGGATATCATCCATAGCAAGTGGTTTGCAAGTCCCAGTTACAGCTGGACGAACTCTACTTACCCTACTTGCAACTGGTGTCAAAACCTACTTACTAGCTGGGGTAAAGTACCAAGTGGCTTATTTTCCTATATCTTCCATGATATTTTCCCATAATCTTCCGATATTTTCGGATGATATAACCCGATGATTGGTGCTTCAGTCCAAGCAATTTTCCCGGTGTTCCCAGTACCCTCTGGTAAACTAACATAGCTATAGAAAATCACCATCTTTGATAGGTAAATCAACTATAAATGGGCAATTTTCAATAGCTGGGTATTCCTGGACCACATCTCTTCAGGAACCTGAGGCTGGGGTGCCTAGGGCCGTGAGTGTCAGGTGCCTGTTGGGTCAGATGATGAATGTACTGAGGTTCTTGTTTTTTTCTTCAAACAAACATAGGGTTTTTGGTGATTACAACTATACTGTATGGTAACTATAGTAACTATATTAGGTTTTAGTTCTTTTTTAACTAGGGATTACCAGAGGGTAGATGTTTCTTTGAGTTGATCGATTTGGAAAGAAAACACATCCGTTTGAACAAGTCCTGGATGCTAATTCCTGGAAAATGTGCGTGTATATGTGTGTATATGTATATTCTGTATATGAAATATTGATATCTAGGTCCTGAAATCCAGCTGTTTTTGAGCAATCTATACAGATACTGCCTGTTTTTTAACCGGCAGCGTTTGCTTTTTTCGGCAGGTCTGGGTCAAGTGGTGAATGCTGGATTGTTGGTTACATTGATGGAGGACGCTTTCATGTCTTGAGAAAAAACACATCAGTATATAGATTGCTGGGCACCTAAGGTTCAAGTTTAGGGGTTTAGGGTATTGTGAAACTGACCCAACTTTGGCTTCCGTACAAAAAACAAACTGTGATTCCTTATGATTTTGTCCTGGGTCACTAAGTTTTGCATATCGGTGCTTTGAAGATCTTCCCACGCACAAAAGCGAGATAAGCAGTGCAAAACCTTGTTGTTTGATGATCAGTTCGGGGATTATACTGTCCAATATATTGGGTATTATCAACATCCATGAACGGGGGGATCCCATTCTCAAAACACAGTAGTACTCTTCAGCAGTCTTACTGTTACAACCAGTGCTATGTTAGGGGATGTTAGTCTTATCTTAACCAACCAACGTAATGCTGGTAAAGCAATGTCATAAACCGCCAATATGATCAATATGTTGATCCAGGCCCTGTCCATTTTCCCGTGTTCCGGAGATGTTAGGTTTCCATGTCACTTTTCAATGGATTGGTTGAAGGGAAAATTGATGAAAATTGGAACCGGAAAGCCCCTCTTTTTTAATGGGAAAATCGATGGTTTCAGATTTTCCCACCAATCCGTTTCACTTTACAAGACTTTGAACAAGACATGAATGAAACATAATGAGGCTTTACCAACATGAATGAAAGGACAGAGGGTTTTCTGGTTGGTGGTTTGGCTCATTTTTTATTTTTCCATATATTGGGAATTTCATCATCCCAATTGACTTTCATATGTTTCAAGATGGTTAAAACCACCAACCATATTATTATTAATCATCATGAACCATATAATAACCACATATTAACCATAATTAATCATCATTAACCAACCAGTTTTGACATGTTTTGAACGGCCGTGCTCCCATCAAGGCCCAGTCTGGTGGAACGCCCATCACAGGCCGGGCTCAGCAATGATAGACCCTATGGTTTCATGGAATTTGTCATATATAAGATTTCTTCGGATCGAATTTCATGGGATATGGGTCTTCTTCGGATTGAGTGGGATTGATTGGGATTGTTTGAAACATGGGGATGAACAAACTCTGCTTTTACATAGCTATGAAACGGCCCATTTGTAGACGATTTACCTATGCCAAAGGGTAAACACAGGGACTTTCCTTTTTCTCATAGAACAACAGCGAAATGAGTTTCTATTCATGAAACATATGAAACATCACCACATTGATATCTTATATGTAATGATACGCTACGGCTTTCTTCTATATGTTATATCACCTACTACGTGATTGCCTTATTCTTACTGATATATATATATATGTAACAATTATATACACATGATAATATGTATATATATACACTATATTTTAATATATGTTATATATATATACACATCGTATATCATATGTGTACATATCATGTATATATCATTATATATCAGGTATATATCATGTATATATTATGTATATATCATGTATATATCGCCATATTCATCTCTTATATGTCATGCTACGCTACCGCTTTCTCCTATATGTTATATCACAACTGCGCTACAGCTTTGGACAGTTCACCGCTTGAGGATTCAGTGGTTGACACCGAGAAACCATGCTTTGGCAATCAATTTACACATGTGACCGTTCACAGGGCGTTTCATATAAGGGGGATAGGCCGATTTTTGAATCTTTGAGATGTTTTCCGAGGCACTACATCGGTACATTTATTGATTATTTTCTATGGGATTATTTCAGAAACTTGTAGACAAAACCACCCGGTTTCAAAACCAATGTGGTCGTGAAAGATACCATCGTGACGACTGACACACGCCGTAGTAGAAGTGGTTTGCCCCAACACGGCCTTTGGTAAGGACTGGGACTGATCAGAACTGATCTAGATTTCGCTCATTGGCTTTGAAACTGCCATGGCATTGTATGGCATTGTCGCATTCTTCAGTTTACCACATTAAACCTAGCAATGGAAAGTCCAACGTTTTCCTCCATTCATGGGCCCCAGTAGGTCGCTTGTGCATCAACAACTGCAAAAAACACAACAAAATTCTCTTCCATTTTCCTCCCTTTGGGTTTGTCTGACAGTAGGGTACCCCTAAATCAATTGGTTACCCTCTGGTAAACTAACATAACTATGGAAAATCACAATTTTTCATGGGAAAATTCACTATAAATGGTGATTTTCAATAGCTATGTTAAATTACCAGAGGGTAATCACCATTTTCCCATGGTACCATTGCTATTTCTTGGGGGACTTCATTGTTCAGACACAACCATTCTTCGTTATTTAGAAACATCATACTCACATAAAATTGAAATGGTTGGTGTCTTCATTAAACAAAACCACCATTATCCAACTAAACACCCGCTTACCGGTGGTTATATCCCCAAAAAATGCTGCTGAAAGCAGTTGAATCCCATAAAATCCAATACTTAAATACATATATATATATATTATATATATATCATATATATATAAATTGGTGATATTCCCAATGAATTTTGCCATGAATTCCACATTGACCACTGCTTCTCTGGCGCGCCCTGAATTTCAGGGCGCGCCACGCCTTAGCAACGGTGGCCCTGGCGCTGGTCCGGGCAACCCTGGAGCTGCAGCTGCAGGCGTCTCGTTGGTAGGTGGCATGTCCCAATTTTTTTCATGTTGGTTGAAACAATGCCATAGACCAATTTGGGGGATGATTTATTGTTGTTTTACCATGTTTTACCCACATGATCTCCCATTATAAAAATAGTGTTTGAAGCATCCTTTTGGTCCGGAGTTCGTAACCATCCACTGTATCACCAGCAAAGAATGGAGGGTTCATTGATGCTTTTCCAAGCAAAGATGATTGTAATATGTTGTAATATATCATAATTGTAATACGTGATTAGTAATCCAACTTAACTTGGTTTAGCCATCCAAAAATTGGTGGCACTAATCTGGTTCAATCATCCTGTAGAGCATGCATATTCCCGATACGAAACGCTGCAGCAGGGTTTCGTTTGAGGAGTACTTATAGGGAGAAGGGATATGTGGCAAGATAAAGGAGGTCCTACTCGGAATGGATTTTCGTGGATGGGAAGCCGCCAGAGCAGATCCGAAACTCTGCACCACCTGCCGTCTGTCCGCGGATACGCTTGATGCACTCGTCGTGGAAGGACCTTTTTCCTCGCGACCATGCCGGAAATACTCAGGAGAAGGGATGAGTAAAGTAACAATTTGATCATCAATCATTTTGAGCCACCCCCAAATGATTGTGACATGATGTTTAGATTTAGATGATGTTTGACGATGGTGAATTGTGTGAATTGTGGTGAATTAAAACAAAATCACCAGGACATCACCATAGATGAAGGTCAGTTAGAGGACATTATCCCCCAAACCCCAAACAATTTGATTCTGAGTATATAGGGACTTGGAATGATTCTGGGTAAATTGCAACGCACTGGAATAATGGTTAGTAAGGGTAAGTATCCCCAAATGGCCTTTATTCAGATTGGGAACAGGCTCCTTTTGGAAGGAAAGGGGCCTTCATTCAGATTAGTGAAATTTAGTGAATTACTATACGGTAACGACATTTAAATATGTGAAATTTAAAGTACCATGAGTGAAATTTAGTGAATTACTACTAGTGAAATTTAAAGTACCTGTTCGTATATTTCAAAGTCCGTATATTTCAATGCAGTTACTGTAACTGGTTGGTGGTTTGAAACATTTTTTATTTTTCCATATATTAGGAATAATCATCCCAACTGACTTTCATATTTTTCAAGATGGGTAGGTATACCACCAACCAGAAATGTAGTTACTATAATTTGTCCAGATCATTTGGATATTCACCCCGCTTCGCGTGGGGTGGCCGCCCACACCGCAGGTTTATTTAGGTCCGTGAGAGGGGCTAAGGGTGGTTTTCCCCCGTGGGGGCTCCCCAAGCTAAGAATTTTAACTTTCCCCCCCCGTGGGGGCTCCCCAAGCTAGGGAATTTTCACTTTTCCCCCCCGTGGGGGCTCCCCAAGCTAGGGAATTTTCACTTTTCCCCCCCGTGGGGGCTCCCCAAGCTAGGGAATTTTCACTTTTCCCCCCCGTGGGGGCTCCCCAAGCTAGGGAATTTTCACTTTTCCCCCCCGTGGGGGCTCCCCAAGCTAGGGAATTTTCACTTTTCCCCCCCGTGGGGGCTTCCCAAGCTAGGGAATTTTCACTTTTCCCCGCCGTGACAGCTTCCCAAGCTATGGAATTTTCACTTTTCCCTCCCTTGGAGGCTCTCCAAGCTGCGGAATTTCAAATAGCTAGACAACGACGCCTAGATAGTCCCCCAAATCCCGTGTTCTTTGAATGTGTTTCCATGTTTTTGCAATGGTTTCCTTCAAAGCACGGTACTTTACACTTTTGTCGCCATAAAACCGGTCGAAAACATCATGTTCGACAATGCTTCCAATTCCCTTATCTCCCCAACCGTTGAAAATACCGCTATTTACAGTGTTTTCTTCAATTTTTCCATGTTCCAATGCCGGTAGCCAACTCCAACATATATATAAGAAATCCTTCCAAAACATTGTTTTTGACAGTGTTTTTCCAATGTTTCCAGTCAAACAGACGGTAATTTACACGTTTTTTGCCATAAAGGCAGTAAATCCTTCCAAAACATTGCTTTTGACAGTGTTTTTGTAATGTTTCCAGTCAAGCATACGGTAATTTACACGTTTTTTGCTATAACGTCAGTCCAAAACACTTGTTTTTGCAGTGTTTTCAATGCTCTGGCATCCAAAAACCCTGCAAAATCTTGCTATGTACAATGTTTTTTTCATTTTTGGCCGTTTTTCCATTGCCGGAAAGCTACCAAAATGACCCAAAATTCCATTTCAATACCCTCTTGCGCTCAGACACCCAAAAATCCTCGAAAAATGTCGAAAACACCACCGTATTCTGGTCTCGGTGCGAAACCGTTTTTGGGCCCCCCCCGCCCCCCAGCTAAAGCTGATATAGCGACTGCTATATTAACAAATGTCATTGAGCATTTAGTGTTGCTGTTTTGCCCCCCAATAAGCACGCCTTCACCGCCAAAGCGGTGTGGGCGGATTTTTTGGGTGCCAAAATATGGTTCAACGATGGCTGACGGTGATCAAGTGACAGGTTTTCATATCATGATGCTGCCAGAATTGGCCTGGCATCATGTGATACGTACTCCAAATGATATACCATCTGGTTATTTAACATAGCCATGGAAAATCACCATTTTTAATAGGTAAACCATCTATACATGGGCCATTTTCCATGGCTATGTTAAATAACCAGAGGGTAAGTACTACTACGGTAAAAACCCTCAGTTTGCCCGCGCCGACGCCGACGACGTGTCCGAACATCAAAAAACACTGTGTTTTGTGGGACAACATGCACATGTCCATGATCATGGCTTTCATCTTGCAACGCACAGCTTAGCTACCTGTGCGTTGAATGTTACAACAACATCGTCATCATCATCATCATCATCATCAAACCCTTATTGAAGATCTTCAATGAATGTAGAAGTTTAACGGGGCTGGGAGAATTAGACCCTCATTGAAGATCGTCAATGAATGTAGAAGTTTAACGGGGCTGGGAGGAATTAAACCCTCATTGAAGATCTTCAATGAATGTAGAAGTTTCACGGGGGTGGGGAGGATTAAACCCTCATTGAAGATCGTCACTGAATGTAGAAGTTTAACGGGGCTGGGGAGAATTAAACCCCCATTGAAGATCGTCAATGAATGTAGAAGTTTAACGGGGGTGGGAGGATTAAACCCTTATTGAAGATCTTCAATGCATGTAGAAGTTTAACGGGGGTGGGAGAATTAAACCCTTATTGAAGATCTTCAATGAATGTAGAAGTTTAACGGGGGTGGGACTGCAATATTCCCTATTACCTTTGTTGATCTTCCCAATTGAATGTAAAGTTTAACGGGGGTGGGAATTTATATTCCTAATACCCTTGTTGATCTTCCCAATTGAATGTAAAGTTTAACGGGGGTCTGAATGGATTCCTTCAAAATCCCTAAGAAGTTGTGTGGGCGAACTGGGGGGTTTGCGCGTACTATTACTTTGGGAGGAGAGATATCATGATATATTATTTATCAAGAGCGATTCCATCATATTCTATAATGCTCCGTGTCACCCATGTCATGTATGGTGCATTTGCTTGCATTTGGATCATAGAAAAAGGGACCATGCTACTAAATGAAACATATAAATGAAACAAACACAAACCAACGATAAATGGGTCACCCATCACCAAGGTTGAAACTCGATACAGGTGTTCCCCTGCTGTCACACTTTGCTACCACGCTGTTGGGGATACAACCTAGGCTTATTCACTTGTGTTGCCTCTTCTGACATAAATCATCCAAGTCACCCAATAAACTCCTCTCTCCAATTCGGTAAATTCATCCACATCAGCAAAAATCACCTCCAACTCCATCCAAATCATTGAGCAAATAAAATAGATCCCTCCATCACCCCACAATCATCCCTCCATCATCTCCAACTTATCCCAAAATCTTGCAAGTCAGAATATCCCATTCAAGTGCATCCAAATCATACCCTCTGGTAAACTAACAGTTTGCTATTGAAAATGGCCATAGAAATAGCGGATTTACCCATTAAAAATGGTGATGTTCAATAGTTTTTTGTATGTTTACCAGAGGGTATGTCTAAAAATCAAACCTCAAGGTTCACCCTAGTTGTCCTAGAAATACATAGAGATACATCATATCCAACTACCACTTGGTCATCAAACATGGCGATGGAAATTTCATGAATTTTCCCCGTGTATATATATATAATATTATATATAGATGATTTTCCCAGCTATAAATGATAAACATCAATTTTTGTATGTTCCCATTGTTTCCCCATGATTTCCCATTCGAAGCTCGACATCGCAGGCTACCGCCCTGGTGCACCTGGTGCCCCGTGCGCCGGTGCAACTGGCGCCATGCGACCAAGTTGCGGCCGGGGGACCATGGGTCGTGGCGGTGTGGCGTGGCGGTTGTTCAAAAAATACATGGGGGTTGAACCAGTTGTTTAATGATATGAACATTATAATATATATATATATATGGAGGTTTCCTAAAATGTTGGTACCTCCAAATCATTCAAAACTAGACTGTTTTAGCATTGGAATCCATGGTTTTGGGGTACCTCCATTTTAGGAAACCCCCAGATGTTGATGATCGTACATGATCATACATGATGATACGTGTTTGATGGAGAGGACATTTGTTTATGGATATAGTAGCTCCCAAAAGGATGTGTTTTTGTTTTTGCGTTAACCACTGGTAGGATTTGATCTTCGTATCTTTCGGGGGTTATGAATTAATTGTTGGGGTTGGTTGGTTTCCAAATCAACGAAGCAACGCAGGAGTTTTGGGGGATTTGACAGATTTTGGTATGTTTTTTCAGCAACAAAGAGGGATGTTGACTAACATAGTCAGGGATATTGAGCAAACAAATTGCTGTCAATTTTTGGAGTACCCTTTGGTAATCAAACGTGGCAATGGAAAGTACCCGAATATAATCCTATAAATGGAGGTTTAAATGAAAAATTCGTCTATAAATCATATATAAATTGTAGATTTTCAATTGCCACGTTTGATTACCGGAGAGTATTATGTTCACAGTCCCGGTTGAAAAAAAAAAAGTTAATTTTCCTCTTTGACGCTGATGTGCGAAACCCAATACTACGCCCTACATCGCCCTACTTGAGTTTAAACCGTAAAGGTTTATGTATGATACACATGGTTTATTGTTCGGTCTACCACAGTCGAAACCTCAAAAATGGGGGCTAATACTCCACCATCCCCAACTAATAGTCGACAAAAAATGTGGGACATGATTAGCAACTGCCAATAATCCCTTGCCCTAAGATTCAAGACCTGTCAGAAACTATGGCTGGGACCGTTGATGTAGGGGGTGTTTAGTCTTAGGGGGATGGGAGAAACAACAACTATAAACATCGGGCATATACCATCATATACCATCATATACCATCATATACCATCATATACCATCATAGACCATCATAGACCATCATAGACCATCATAGACCCGTGTTCAAACATGTGTTTGGCTAAAACTGGGGGTATGATTTCAGACACTCCCTGAATCATCCTGAATCCTATATGAAGCATATGGACCATGGGGTACTTTTCCAGTGAAGATGGACACCTCCAGTAGTGAAGTATGAAACAGACAGTCTGTCCTTTCTATTTTTACCATGTGCTTTCAAACTTGGAGACCACCCATGGGTTTGGCTGAAACTAGGCTACCCCAAAATCTTCCAAAATCAATTGGTTAATCCTCATTTGTTTTCCAATAAAGTGGCAATTCGGGTGGTACAATTTTGGGGCAAACCACCTTGCCAAATATATGAAAGATGGAATTGCACGTGCTCAAACTCTTTGAAGCGGATGAATAGACGAAGTGGATCCTGCATCACAACTGGACCCATCCATGTTTAACATTGTTTAACATCGCAAATCGTGAGAGAAGACCTAACATCAACAAGTGAGATTGAACCAACAGCATATGGCAATATACTGGGACATTTTACGGAATATACACCCTATGGTGTCATTATTGCCGCTGGAAAATCTCGCAGCAAGAGTTCGAAGATTTTCCATTTCAATTCACCATCCCCCAAATTCACATAGACCCTGCCAAAGAATAAGGGGGATGAGTCATGAATGACCATGACTTAGTATTCAAACCCATCGTGACTTACAATGTGGGGCCCCCAGTAACTATAGTTATAAGTACCATAAACCATAGTTATTGGAGTTATAAACCAACTTAGCTATCTTGGGGGCCTCAAATTGTAGGGTACCCCCAGTTTAGGAACCCCCCAATTTGTGAACGTTCAGCGATCGCCCGGGGCCAGGCTACGTGCAGGCGTCGCCACAGAAGCAGGCTGCGTCGCCGCAAGTGCCAAATCGACACCTCCAGTGGCAGTTTGGGGGGCTCAGATCTGGCGTTTTTCACCGCAGATGTTTGATAAGTCTTGGTAAATGGAGGTGTAAGGGTCCCAGGGTGGTTTAATGATGTTTAATGATGATATCTCGGAACATCATGAGATTTTTGCAACTAATCCTGGCTGGTGTTGTGAAAACGTGGCTGGGGAAGCCCTGAACTAAATGGAGCCTGAACTAAGGACAAAATCAATAAAAATCATCTGTAAATATCCCACCAAATGTTAAATGGGGACGGATCAGAAGCCAGGAACCCTCCTGTAATTTTTCACATAGCCATGGTAAAATCGCCATTGTGAAAATTGGGGAGTTTCTCACTTTTTATCAGAGGGTACCCTCGCTGAGGGGATGAACATCCATAAATCTCAGCTATTTGAACAGAAGGGGATTTGAAAATGGGGGGATGACCCATATCCCATCCGTCACTTGACCTTGGCTTCATGGATTTCTGCAATGGGGGAAGATCAGCCACGCTATCCGTATCCTCATGGATGAAGAATGATGAGGTATGTCGGATAGGTGGATGAAGAGGTCTCCAACTAGATAGCCTCGGTTGGAGATTGATATAACATGATATAAAGCTTTGCTAGAAATCGCAGAAAGGTACCTTTGCGAACATCCATCAAGTTGAAACATGATGAAATGTCTATGAAGGGGGTTGCAACAACTTACGTAGTTCTTGTGCAGCAAACATGTTTAAAACGAGCAAAAACAAATCAGAGCTGACCATTCTGGATTTTCTCCAGATTGGAAGACATTTTGGTTGAGCACCGTGGGAGAATGGTCAAGATCGCCTAGCCTTCCAACTTCATTTTCAATCTCGGCAGAAGCAGATGAAGCCCTGCTAGTCTTCAGAGGTTGCTGGAATTCGTTGGTGTTTCGTCATCCCATGTCCACAGAAGCGTGAGAATCCTAGATTTCAACGTGCTGCACCCCAGTGACACACATTTTTTTTTGGCTATGTTTGGCAAATGTTAACCCATGTTGACCCATTGTATATAAGATATAGATATATCATGATGTATCATGATATATCTATTATTGTATATAACAGATATATCTATTGATACCATTAAAATATATGTACATGGAAAATTTACAATGGGTATCAATAGATATATCTGTTATAGATATAGATAATATATCTATTGAATATCTATTGATAGCATTAAAAAAAAACCCAAGCGAATTCATCAACTCAAGCGACTGCAACTCAGGTCTCCTGCAGCCCGGGGGCCCAAGATGACATCTGGAAATGTTGATATATTAAGCCCCAGAAAAACTATAGTTAACATAGTTATAAGATGTTATAAGCCCCATCATCATCGATTTTATGGGGACCCCAAGGGGCCCATCTTGGAATCTTGGCCCGTTCTGAATGTTTGGAACCGATCCACAGTTCATCGCCAAGCATCGAAGATTCGCCTTTGATGCTCGTTGTGTATCGTTGTGTCCCATTGATGAACTGCACAATGGACACTGACGAGTAAATCAGAGTAATTCCCAGTTGTTTCTGAAATGAAAAGATGGTGAAATTAGATTGAATCCCTAATTTTTGGATGTTTGATGATGTTTGGATGGATCCCGTGTTTAAACATGCACAGCAGAATCAACATATCCAATTCTGATGGTTATCATTTAACATGCCTTTCTTGATTATTCAATCAGATTCAATCCCATCTTTGATGTTAACATAGCACGTAGCTATTGAAAAACACAGTTTTTGCGACAAAAATCGGGTAAATCTGACCCTTTTCCATAGCAAACTGTTGAATTACTAGAGAAATTGTTGGTTGAATTCCATGAAATCCCATTGAATCATATTAAATCCAACTAGTCACCATAGGGTCAACCATAGGCTGTGAACAGCCGAAATCTCTGACAGCGAATTAGGCACGACCCCAGCTGGGTCCAGTCCGGCAGCAGGTATGGATCTGGGAAGGGAGCTGTAAGAACCGGTAACTATTAAAAAAGCAAAAAAACATGTAATTAATTGGAATGATTCATGGGTAATATTTATTATAACCCCTTAATGGGGAATGATATATTTGAAGATATATGTGCAAACTTACATTTTAATGGGTTCAGTTTATCTAATTTCAAGAGGAATGAAACCCACCGTACTGTACCCACCGTACCCACCGTACCGTACCCCCACTGTACCCACCGTACCGTACCCACCGTACCCACCGTACCCACCGTACCCACCGTACCGTACCCACCGTACCCACCGTACCCACCGTACCGTACCGTACCCACCGTACCCACCGTACCGTACCCACGTACCCACCGTACCGTACCCACCGTACCCACCGTACCGTACCCACTGTACCCACCGTACCGTACCACCGTACCCAACGTACCGCACCCTTCACCGTACCATCATTTTTGAGGACCGTACCCCCCCACAGAGCATTACTCTTGAAATTTGATAAGGTTCAGTGCATTATTGCAATCTAGTCATGGATGATTTTTTTACATGGATGACATAGGCATAGGATGAGATAGATAAATGGTGAGTCCTGGATGAGACATCACCATAGCTTTTGGGCAAAGAAATGGGAATAATGGATGAGATGATTATTGCTGGTTGGTGGTTTGGAACATGAATTTTATTTTTCCATATATTGGGAATGTCATCATCCCAACTGACGAAGTCATATTTTTCAGAGGTGTTGAAACCACCAACCAGATTGGATAATGAAAGTGGATAGTTAATGGATGATCCAAAATCAGGATTGATTATTGGTACTCGCGGTGATCGCCCCCGTGACGTTTGCTTAATTTTTGGTGTCCTTTTTAGCCCCAGTCACGAGATCTAGTGAAGAAATCCCATTGTTAACCTCAACTGAACCAATACTAGACAATTATGGAGCAACACCTTTTACCATCCCCCAATACTTTGACCCATTTAGGTGTCAATTTCGGAAACTAGTCTTCCAACCATGGCAAGGCTATCATACTAGTTGGATGGTAAGGCCATCCCAATGATGGCCTTTTAAGCAACAAGAGTGGGGATTGACACTAATATAAGATTGGTTTGATCAACAAACCTGGGGAATTAATTATTATCATTTACATTCATTTACGAACAAAAAAAGGAAGTTGCAATGGTTACCTGAATCCAATGCCGCGGTTTTAAGGTACAGGTGCAGTATGGTGCAGTACATTTGAGCCAGGCTAAGACATACCAGCACCATGTATGATGTGAGAACAGCTTTCCATATCCGAAGGGATCAGCCACGAAGTACAGCTTTCCACAAGTGATATGGTGATGGGTCCAGAGTCCAAAGCAAAGTCGGGTTTTATCACCATTCTTCATAGGATAATATAGGATAATCATCTATTAACATAGCCATTTTCCATCGCTCTGTTAAACGTTATCTTTAAGGGGCCGGATGCAGATCCAAGGGTGTCCCCTGCGATTTTCATGTGAACACCTGTTGGGGATTCCACGGGTTTCGGTGCAGTTCCACTTAAGAAGATCTAATAAGTGGTTATATAGTTATACCCTCTGGCTATGACTAACATAGCCATGCTATAGATGGCCCATAGAAATAGATGGTTTACCTATTGAACATGGTGATTTTCCATGGCTATGTGAAATAACCAGAGGGTATATCCATAACTTTTGTGGGCTTAAATCCGATGGTTATACGGTTATACCCATAGATAACCCCTGGCCTGGCCAAGAAGAGATTCCAGACGACAACGCAAAAATCAATGTGTTGGGCTGCAGCCTGCGCGGCCGAATCACCCCTTCTGTCTTTGGGTATGCTTTTAGAGACCCATCCCCTTCAAATCAAAAGGTAGTAATTGGCTAAATGGGGTTTGATTATTTCATGTCATCTATTCTTAGCTCTTGCCGTTAAAAATGCCATGAAACTGGATGCCAAGACCCAAAGCGCTAATTTCTACAAGGTGTTTTCCTGGCAATGCCACCGTTGGCGGTTTCTCAACCATAGAGCTGATAATCCTCAGTGAAATATCCACTGTGTACCCCTGTGTACCCAATGGTTTTGCTGATCATTATCCCGTTTTTAAAAATTGCTATTTCATTGGGAATATACCTAACATTTTCAGATAAACCCATATCCACTCACTCAGTTCACTCTGACATTTCTGGATGAATCTGGATGAATCTCCCCAGATACCCTCTGGTAATTTAACATAACTATGGAACATTACCATTTTTAATGGGTAAATCAACTATAGATTGCCATTTTCCATAGCTATGTTAGTTTACGAGAGGGTACCATTCTTCTCCGTTTTTGGCGAGATCTCATGATCTCCCCATTTTTGGTCGTTGATGGTCGTTGAACTGCCGCCATGGTGAGCCAGGTTTCTACCCGCCGAGCCCTTTAAAGCGACGCCCTGCTGTTTTAAGCGACGCGGAAAGCGACCCCCTCCCAGTGAATGGAGCGGTTTGGGAGCTATGGAAATCCTATGGAAATCCTTGTTTCCGAAAAATCAGATGTTAGATTGGGTTGTTACGACTTGAGTTTCCCACATGATAATTTAATTTGTTTTCAACTGGGAGGGCCTCATTGTGCAGTTTCGTGAGCCCTGGTGGCTGCATAGGACGCTGAAGTGACAGAGTGTCAAAGGTTAAATTTGGATCTGTGTCTTTCCTCTTCGTCATGAAGCGGCATGCACGTGAATTTGGCAATTCCCTGCTTGAGCACCAGCGAATCTGCTGGTTTGCGTTAGGGTTTCGTGCATATCCATGTTCAGACAATCCTCCGTTCCTAGCATGTAGTCAAACGCTTGCTACATCATACTACATCCTCTATGAAGTGCGTTTCTGAGTGGGCCTTTGAATTAGATTCATACACAATCAAATAACTATATATATATTATATAATATATTAATCATATATATATACAGTATGTATGATGTATTGAAGCGGTTGGACAAATGGCATCCGTCCTCGGAAAGTGGATCGATGTCGTGACAAACCCAATGGCAGTACTGCCCCTGGAGACCGTAGACCGTCCCCCACACGACGCCCCCTGGGACACACCTGCGGTGGTGCCCCATACTTAGCTAAATTGGTTTAAACATGTTTAACCCTACATTCTATAACTAGGGTTTTTAAGGATGTTTTTGGTGATTGCAACTATAGTGAAACATGGATATATAACTTAAGTAATAAACTATATATAACTTATAGGGAAAATCACCTTGCAAGTTCTGGGCAACCATAAAAAGTCTTGGAGATTCGAGCCGGCAAAGAGTCCCACGAGGTGCGTCCTGGTTGAATGGTGCAGACACAACTGTATATATACCCTCTGGTAATTTAACATAGCTATTGAAAATGACCATTTATAGTGGATTTTCCGATTAAAAATGGTGATTTTCCATAGTTGATGTATGTTTACCAGAGGGTACTTTCTCTGGCAATTGAACATGGTAACATGGCTGTGTAAATAGATTATTTACCAAATGGTTATGCGGATTATGCAATGTCAAACTACCAAAAGGCCATTTTATGTTTAATTATTATGGTATATCATATCATGGTATTGTTAAACAAGGAGACCTTTCAAGTGTTTGCGTTTGTTTTTTTGTTCCGTAGTTTTTCGGGTACACCAAACGTGGATGTGCACGTGGAACAATCGATATCACTCTCCGTTGGTGGTTTCAGCCCTGTCAGATGTTCTTTCCACACAGATGATGACGCAAATCAAAGCACATGAAGAGATGAGGAGGATAACCCCTAATGTTTCCCGTATCATTTGGTGGTCCGTTGAAACCGCCACCATCAAAACTCGATGGCGTTCGCTGCCAAAGCACTGGTTGCAGCGATGAAGAAAGCACCACATGCCCCGGGTTGATGGGATTTTTTGCAGGAAATGATGGTGTTATAACATTTCGTTGTTCTTGAACCATCATGTGGGCATGTTTGAAACAAGGGTACCTATCATCATTTTCGAAATAAACTGCTATTTTAGGGCTATCCCTCTTTTCAGACACCCACAAAATATATACACACCGTGCTAAACCCAACGCCATACACCATACCCCATAGGAGGGGTATTGGAAACCAGGGCACCAAAAAAGGGGAGTTTATTCAACGGTTTATGGCATTAGGGTCAAATCGACAGTATGAGTCCTGCAATGTCAAGACTAGATTAAGATTTACCCTTGGGTGATAAATGGGTAACAATTTGAATAGTATATAATTATTTATAATTTATCACTGCTTTGGGGACCACCTCAATTATATAATCACCCGGGGTTTA